TTTGCAAAGCAACATGGTCTTCAATTTATAACCTCAAGAATTATACCTTGAGGGATAAGAAGGTATTTTAGCTTAGCTCGCTGTCTTCAACGGTAGAATCCTTGGAGAGTAGAAGTAGTAAAAGCTTAGAAATATTTTTGTTCAATTCTGAGTAAACTCTCTGCTTTAGATATTTTAGGAAAAAGCCATTTGTACGGACTTTTTGATATTTACGTTACTTTAGACTTTGAGCTTTGATCCTTATCATGTATTTTAATTTTATCATTAATTAGAGTCTTCAGAATTCCTTCAGACACTTTTCTGAGGAGCACATGTTTTCTTCTTCAGAAGCACCAATATTCATCAAAATATTTACACTAATAATTGACTCCAATGAGAATTGTATATCTGCATACTTAAGATAGAATTAGATACCAAATTGTTACATTTAAAATATATGTATTGTTATAATCAAAACTAAAGATTATATGCAGAAACGAAATCTTGTTCTAACAAATATGTGAAAAAATAAAATATTTAGGGTTGAATCCTTTTTATATGGATTTGAGGGTTAGTCGTGTGGGTAATCAAGGATCTCTCACTAGGTTCTCCAACAGTAGTAAAAGATTCCTCACATTTCTCACACATGTGAGGGAATAAGGCCAATTTGAATTTCCAAGACTAAATCATCATTCATCATATTTAATGTTGTGTGTGCATTCACCTCAACTGACATTTGGGGGATTCACCTTAACTGAAGTTTAAGGATTCACCTCATTGACACTTGGAGGTTTACCCCAGGCCACACCCGAGGGACTAACCCCGAGGTTATACTTGCGGGACTCACCCAAGGCGATGCTTTAGGGACTCGTCTAAATACGAAGAGGCGATAAACTTAAATCACTTTGTCCTTTATAAGTCCTCGTGCTTGAGGGACTGTGTAGTGTATATTTGCAAATGATTCACATGAGATCTCACAAGATTCACCAGGGGAAGGTGGATAGCACATCTCGTCCAAAAGAGGGTGTCTAGTCGCCCAGCTCTCATAGTGCGCACCCGTTCATCATAATATGTGCCCATTCGCCACAATGCTCACTCGTTATTTGCAACGTTCACCCTTTCCTCGGAATCACTCGTCCACTTATGAAAACGTAGAGAATGACATATCCCCACCCAGTAACGGCACGAGAAGGGCATTAAAGAAGAAAGTTATGTTCTCCAGGATAATATGTGAAGTAACTATTCACTTCCCATGCTCCTAAGAGGGAAGAATATTGTAACTGTTTTCTTCAAGTCTAAGATTCAGGACTAAGAGGTTCTTATACACCAATCATAAGGTTGAAAAAGACATTAAATTTACTCAACAATCACTCATATACATATTTTTTTCACCATCTTAATGTGAGTTTGCTCGAACACCACAACCACCCTAAGTTTTTCATACAACCCTTAAGAGTTTTAATTCTACTTTAGCGAAATACAATAAATGTGAGTGATTGTGATTTATAGACGGTATAAAAAACTTAGATTAAGAGTATATGAAAATTAACTAAAAACTAAGGTTAAATGAAGAACAAAACTTACATAAAAATTAAAAATAATCTAAAACCTTGAATTATGCTATTGTTAAAAAATCAAAACAAATCAATTTTGTATAAAATATTATCTATTTATTATTTTGATAAGTATTTCACTTATATTTTCAGAATAAATTTTTTTTTTTTGAAATTCTTAAATAATGCACTTAGAATGTGTTTGAATAGTAATTGGAAATTCTAGTTAAATTAAAATACTAGTCAGTTCAAATACTTTAGTCAAATTCTTTTTATTTTTTTAAATAAAATATTAAAATACTTGTTTTTTAAATATTTGCGAAAGAATTTTGAACCGAATCAAATTTAAAATATAAATTTATTAGAACATAATTACAATGAAAAAATATAGAAATTAACTTGAAATTCATATTGTAAAGTTAAGATTTTTTTTTAAAATTCTTGATTTATAGATGACATTTAAAATTCTCTAAAATTAAAATCCACAAGAAAATCTATAAGTTTTCTACAGATTTTAATTTTAAAAGTAAAACCAACATAATTTTAATATTTAGGAATTATTTTTGAAAAAAATTCAACAATTTAAAAAGAATTATTTAAACTCTGGATGATAAAATTAGTTTATAGTTGATAGTTGATAGCTGGTAGCTAATAGTTTATAGATTATAGTTGATGAATGGTAGTTGATAAGTTAATTTGAATGTTTGGTAAATTAGAAAAAATACCATTATCTCTCTATCCTTAATTTTTTAAAATATTTCAATTTTACCCTTTTCACTTATCAAATAATTTTATTATTTAATATTTATTATTTTTCGATATGGATTTTTTCTTCACCAAATAACTTGTAATCAAGTTTTTCGGTATGTATTTTTTCTTCACCAAATAACTTGCAATCAAGTTTTCCGATATGTATTTTTTTTTTCACCAAATAACTTGCAATCAAGTTTTCCGATATGTAATTTAACCGGTGAAGAAAAATTACATACCGAAAAATTTAATTGTCAGTTATTTGGTGTAGAAAAAAATACATACCAGAAAACTTGATTAAAAGTTATTTGGTGAAGAAAAAATACATACCAAAAAACTTAATTGCGAGTTATATGGTGAAAAAAAATGCATGCCGAAAAACTTGATTGCAAATTATTTGGTAAAGAAAAAATACATATCAAAAAATAATAAATATTAAATAATATAATTATTTGATAAATGAAAAGGGTAGAATTAGAATATTTTAAAAAATGTAGTGGTAGAATGACAATGGTAGGGGTATGAGATAAAGTTTTCGTAAATTAGCTTTTATACTAGCTGATAATTACAAAATGATCTAAAAAAATATTTTTAATTAAGAAATTGGTGATTTCATTATCTTATTATATTATATTATTAAATTAATTTTTATTCGATAAAAATAAATGTATTAATAAAAACATGCAAAATAATTTTAATATATATAAAAAAATTGAAAATATCATCTAAATATATAAATTTGTATATAAGTTATATGAGTTTTGTTATTTATTATGAATATATTGACAACGAAACTCAATAAATAAAAGAACGAAATTCAATAAATAAAAGAATCAACAAAATCATACATGAAGCAAAGGTATTTTTCATAAAGTCATTTATGAGGACATAAAAGTAAAAGTAATCATAATAACTATAATTCTTGGTCTGATTAACTTATTCTTCCATAAAATATAATTTTTTTTCTTAATTTTATAATGAAATTTAATAAAATACGTGAAATAATAATATTGTAATTTTGAATGTAAATATATTAATTTAAAATAATAATAAAAATAAGTTTATTATATAATATTTACAATAAAATTCTGAATTTTCTTCACCTTTGTTGATTTCATTGATTCTTTAATGTTTCACTAATTTGAAAATTATCAACACTATTTCTAAATTAATTATATAATTTATATTTAATAAACAAAAATAATATCTAATAAAATAGAGAAAAATAGTAAAAATTTGTTATAACATTCTTCAAAATCTTTATAAATTCAATTTTTTAAAATTAATTTTTTAATATTATTTATATATATATATATATATATATATATATATATATATATATATATATATATATATATATATATATATATATATATATATATATATATATATATATATATATATATATATATATATATATATATATATATATATATATATATATATATATATATATATATATATATATATATATATATATATATATAAAATTAAAATAATAAGAGTATAATTCGAATAAAAAATTATAAGCTATAAGCTCAAAAGCTATTTTAAATAATTTTAAAAAAATAAATTAAAAACTAATTAAAAAACTATAAGATAAAAGTTTAAAAATAATTTCGAAACAAAACTTTTTAATTAAAATGAGCTAAAAACCTAAAAATTAAAACCTCATTCCTTTATCTTACCAAACAGACCCTAAACTTAAAATTTATGTTATATAATATTGATTTATCCTATAGAACTACATTCTTTCAAAAGACTAGATAAGTACAATTTTATATTCTTTCAATATCTATGTATCGTTTCCAAAACGCTCCTCATAATATTTAATTAATTTTATATGATTAGTTGATTTTCACCAAACAAACAAAAATATTATTAATATATGAACCAGTCTTTATGATTTTTCTTGATATAATCTTTCTATCACTTGGTCAAAACTTTACCTCAGTTTCTCTTCTTTTTCCTATTTCAATCAATTTTCAGGTTAACTCCTCAACTAAATTGCTACAATTCTTCATTTCTAGTTGCATCAGGTGCATACAAAATTTCTACACTTATCATGCTTTTCTATTTCCAACTAATTAATTGCTTTTTACTCTTCATATGTTCTTGATTTTTGCTTTTTTTTCTTGTTTGAATTGAGTTTTTGAACAATATATATTCATGTGTTTTTTGCTTTTAATTTTGTTTTGTCTTGTAATAACGTGTTCTAGATTCTTATGCTAAACAAAATAACATGGTCATAGGTATTATCTACAAAAAATGTTTTGTTTTTTTAACTTCAGTTGTGTTTTTCATAGCTGAGGTTTATTTATGTGTTTTTTTTCTAGCTTATGATTAAAAAAAAAGATGTTTTTGGAATAATATTATCATGTTCTTTGCTGTGTTAAGATGGATCTTTTGTTAATTATGTTCATTAATGTTTGATCAAAGCTTACAATTAAATTTGATTTTAATCTCTCTTAGTGCTGATTTATGGATCAAGCAGGGACAACAGAAAGCATCTTCTAATGTGTTCTTCTGTTTTTGTTTATCTTATTTCAGCAAAAGCATCTTAGAAGATTCAACTAGATTTCATCGGTGAGCGATTTCTTTAAGGCGAGAAAAAAATTGCGTAGTGGATTGCATAATTTATAGCGTTTTCGTGACTGGTTTTCTTGTTTTGTGTACAGACTGAAATTTTATGTGAGCTGATTGAGTAGAAGTGAAACTATGTCGTTGATTATATCGTCGGAGTTGGCTGATGCGTCGTACAGGAATGCCAAACTGTACTCGTTAAAGGGAACCGATGTTGCACCTGGCTTGTCTTCCCATAATTTTGTTCCTGATAAGCACAGAAGCATGTACATGAATGATTCTTACTCGAGTGAGAGTTATGAAAAATACTTCCTTGATTCACCTACCGAAGAACTGATAGAACCGTCGAGTTCTGGTGTTTCGGGAAATTCGGTTCACGCTGATTGTGATTCTTACCAGATCAGAGCTAGTTCTGGAACTTCTGTGGTCACTGATAACCCGTTTGATACTTATGTTTCATCAACAAGGCTTCATGATGCCTATCAGTTGAATTTTGAGTCAGATTTATTGGAAAACGAGAGCCCGGATTGCTTTGAGTTTGATGGTGAAATGCGATTGAAACTGCAAGAGTTAGAGAGAGCGTTGCTTAGTGACAATAACGATGATGACGACGATGATGAGGAAAACATGTTTAGAACTGTACAAAGCATGGACATTGATCCTGACTTTGCTGAGTGTGCCAATCTCGTTCAGAACATGTCACATCATGACTCGCCAAAGGAATCTTTGTCATCGGATTCGAATCTTAGTAGCAGCAGTTGCACCAAAGAAATATCACAAATCTCTCCCCGGACGCCGAAGCAATTACTTTATGAATGTGCTTGTGCACTTTCAGAAGGAAATGAAGGAAAAGCTTCAGCTATGATAGATGATCTCAGGCAGATGGTTTCGATTAATGGAGATCCTTCCGAAAGAATTGCGGCCTACATGGTGGAAGGGCTTGCGGCTCGTTTGGCTTCGTCTGGAAAATGCATTTATAAGGCTTTGAAATGCAAGGAACCTCCTTCTTCCGATCGTCTAGCATCAATGCAGATCCTATTTGAGGTGTGCCCGTGTTTTAAGTTTGGATTTATCGCAGCAAATGGTGCTATTGCCGAGGCTATTAAAGACGACAAGAAGGTTCACATAATAGATTTTGATATCAACCAAGGAAGCCAATATATAACCCTAATACAAACACTTGCTTCTAGGCCAGGTAAGCCGCCTTTTGTGAGATTGACCGGCGTTGACGATCCTGAATCCGTTCAACGATCTGTTGGAGGCCTAAGTATCATAGGACAAAGGCTTGAAAAGCTTGCAGAAGTACTCGGACTTCCATTTGAATTCCGAGCCGTAGCATCAAGTTCTTCCATTGTTACTCCATCAATGCTGAACTGTCGTCCCGGGGAAGCAATCGTGGTGAACTTTGCATTCCAGCTTCATCACATGCGTGACGAAAGTGTATCAACGGTAAACGAACGAGACCAGCTTCTTCGCATGGTCAAGAGCCTTAAACCAAAACTTGTAACCGTCGTGGAACAAGACGTGAACACAAACACTTCCCCGTTTCTCCCTAGATTCGTTGAAGCCTACAATTACTACTCTGCTGTGTTTGAGTCGCTCGACGCCACTCTTCCAAGAGAGAGCCAAGACAGGGTGAATGTTGAAAGGCAATGCTTGGCAAGAGACATCGTCAATATCATCGCGTGCGAAGGCGAGGAAAGAATAGAACGATACGAAGTCGCCGGAAAATGGAGGGCGAGGATGAGAATGGCAGGATTCATTTCATCACCAATGAGCACAAATGTGGAAGAAGCAATTAGGGAACTCATCAGGCAGTACTGTGACAAGTACAAGATAAAAGAGGAAATGGGAGCACTTCATTTTGGGTGGGAAGACAAAAACTTGATTGTTGCATCAGCTTGGAAGTAAACATGAAAATACACATTTTAATCCTTTAACGTGCGAGCCGGTGTCAGTATAATCCGTAAATTTTCAAAATTAGAAAAACATACTTGAATGTTTCTTTCGTTAGGCCGTTTGGTCTCTCGTATGTGTCTTCTGTTAATTAGTTTGATTCTCTGAAGTGTTTTTCGTTAGTCAATTTAGTTCATAAAATTACTGACAAAAACAAAATACATACTCAGTCTATCTATGTGTTTAGTTTGTGGTCCATGATCTTATGGAAGACATTGTAGTATATTACAACATAAAACAGTTATGCTTAGGTTTGTAATTAAATTGTTGTTTGCTTGTTACCATGATTTTGCATTTCTTCTTTTGACTAGCATGTGGTAGTTATGTTTATCAGATAAGTTCTTGCAATATGAGTGTTTGAATGCAATTTAAGATCTTTTTTATGATCAAGAAGAAGCTTAAGTTGTTCATGTGAAGACACACATGATTCATAGATAATCATTGCAAGAAATAAGAATATATGTTCTTATTAGACATCAATCTTGTTAGCATTTTCTCAGTAAGAGATGAAATGCCTTATGAAACAGTTGTTTTAACCACTTTTTTTCATGTATGTTGATTCTTCCTTTATTCTTAAAATTGGTTCTTAGAAATTGTTATATAAAAATACAAGATTAAACCTACTCACAAATACAAATCGATTTTTTTTTTCAATAAGCTGAATGGAAAATCTTCTTTCCTATGGATTGTCGGTTCTAAGTCCGGATAAAAAGAAAGAGTTCTGTTAAGAAATTAATAACTAATATAAAATTTTGTTGAATTTCTATGACATAAATCAATTATAAAATAATGTGAATGTTAGGTTGTTGCCTCTAAGAAACGCATTGTTTGACTCGAGTTCAGTACCAAAAGAGCAATGATAGATACATTTGTTTGAATGCAATGAAAAATAAGGAAAGGAGGTAAAAAAAAATAAGTTCATGAGAGTAAGATTCGTTTCGGATTATGGAATGTAGGCACACTAACGGAAAAATTTATAAAAATAGTGGACATTATGATTATCAAGAAGATTAATTTTATCAGCCAATAATAAACTAAGTGAACAGGTGAAAAAACAAAAGAATTAAACAATTTGAAATTTAAACTTTGGTATACCAAAAAAATTAGATCGAAAAATGGGGTGGAGGTTATTGTCAACAAGGATTGGAAAAAGGATATTGGGGATATGAAAAGAGTATGAGATCGTATCATACTCTTAAAATTTATAGCAAAACAAGATACCTTTAATATTATTAGTATTTATACACCTCAGGTTGGATTAGCATAACATCTTATGATAAAATTTTGTGAGGATTTAGAAAAGCTTACTTTAGGATAATCTCGAGGAGAAAAGTTTTTTTCATGAGGATATCTAAATAGACACGTAGGGAGCATAGCAAGATATTTTGATAGCATACATTAGAGATATGGTTTAAGAGAAGTAAATATGGAGGGTAAATTCATCTTTGAGTTTTCGTCGACTTTGCATCTAACTACAACAAATATATGATTTAGGAAAGATAGATGAACATCTTATCACATATAAAAGTGGGGTGACATGTTCTCACATAAATTTATTTCTTATTCTAAAGTCAGATAGGAAGATTTGCTTAAAAAAGACGTATAAGAAAGTTAAGAATGAAACCAAGATGGTGGTGAGTGAAGCAAGAATCCAATATTTTGACCGATTATACAAATTTTTAGAAATCAATGAGGGAGAAAAATCTATATATAGACTTGCTAAGGGAAGAAAAAGAAAAAGAAATTTTTTGGATCAAATGAAGTGTATTAAAAATGAAGAAGGCAAAGTCTTGGCTTAGAAAAAAGATATGAAATATAAGCGGAAGATGTATTTCTATCATTTATTTAATTAATGATATGACATCTACTCGTACTCTAGAATACTCTACATTAGAGAGGAGGATCGAAACCATAATTACTACTATCAGATTCAGAAACAATAGGTAAAGTAAACGTTGAAAATAATGAGTAACAGTAAGGCGGCTAGGTCAGACAACATACATATTGAAGTGTAAAAATTTCTTGAAGATGGATGTATTATGTGGCTCATCAAACTCTTTAATAAAATTATGAAATAAAAGTAAATGTGAGATGAATGAACAAGAATCACTTTAGTTCCAATCTATAATAAAAAGAAAAGCGGTATTTAAAATTGTGCAAATTATAGGGGGATTAAACTTATGAGTCATAGAGTGAAATTATGTGAAATATTGATTGAACAATCTATCTGCTACAACGTGTGATAGAGCAGTATCAAATGAACCAATAAAACTTGCACTGAATTTTTATTGACTTGGAGAAGGCGTTTGATAGAGCGTCTAGAGAGATTTTGTGGAAAACTCTAGAGAAGAAAAATGCTAGAAGTGCATATATTCGAGTTATGTAAAATATGTATGAAGGGATATCGACTAATGTATAAACATATGATAAGAGACAAAAGATTTCCCTATTACAATAGATTTGCATTAAAGTTCAACCGTAAACCCCTACCTTTTTACCTTATTTTCATATGTACTCACATAACACATATAAGTGCTAACATCGAGATGCGTGCTTTTTTTTTTGCAGATTATATAATCCTACTTAGAGTGTCGAATGAGGATTTAAACGAGAGATTGGAGACTTGAAGTCGAACTTTAGAAACACATAGTTTTTGACTAAACAAAAGTAAGACATGATATATTTCTATCTTAGAGGTGAAAATTGAAAACAATATCATCAATTCACATTATTTAAATATCTTGGATACATGATACAAAATCATAAAAAAATAAAAAGAGATGTAAACCAACGAGTAGTTAGGTGACTAAAATAAAATAAAAATTTCATCAGACGTCAGATGTATAGTAAGGCGATAGAATTGAATTTAAAATAAAAATATTAGATTGTTAGAGTAATATATACAACTGATAAGATGGTTGAAAAATAGATTTAATGATATGGACATGTAAAGAGAAAATCTATAAATTATGTAGAAAATAAAATGATTTAGACAAAAAGTCAAACAAATAGAGGGAGAAAAGGACTTGAAATAAGAACAATTATTTTAATGGGAGAAGCAGAAGGCTAGTGGTTGCTTACAAGTTGTACGGAAGATTACTTGCTTTTTGCATTTGAAGATTATTTACTAAGAATGAAAAATCAATTTATGACCATAAACAGATTTAATATGAAGAACAATTGTAAATCTAATATGAAAAGAAAAAATTCATTGACACAAACGCGAATGACTAAACAATGAATAATTTCAGAAAAAATAAGCAGAATCAAGTACACAACGCTTAATGACTCAGATCTTCAAAATTTTCAGGATATTGTCAAAACACATTAGAGTTCTTGCCATGTGACCTAACAAATATTTACATTTAGAACGTTAACAATAAAAAATTCGGCCAATCGCCACAGGTTATAATTTATAAAAATCAGCTTTAAGTTCATTTCAAATTCTTCTATAATCAGTGTCTTACACCTACAAAACACAAGGCTACTTCAGCTCTAGCTTGAAACTCTTGCAAGCTTTCCAAAATCTTCTCACGACCAAAACTACCTTCACCCTCCTCAAGCATTTTCCTCAACCTTTGAAAAACAAGGAGGAAAAAAGGGTTAAAGAAACATTTAAACTTCATCCAAATCATCATAAACATGTTTGAAAAGTAAAACCCTAGCTTTGCAATCTCAAGATTTCTACTGATTGAAAATGAATAAGCCGATATGTGTATATAGAGAGAGAGAGAATAATTGGACATAAGAGGCATGGCTATCTTACCTACGAACAACTGCTGTGTCTCCATGACCGGTGCAAACTATCATCATAGCATTTGTTGGTAATGCCTTATGCAGTTTATGAATTTTATTATCCATGCGAGTAACAATTTCCTTCAGTTCAGAAGATATACTCGGCCTGAGGCCTTTCCCGTTTAAATGATTCTTCCGACATGTATGTAATGCAATCATCTCTGCAACTTTTTTATTCAAGCTATCTGAATCCTCAGCTTGTTTCTTCAAGTATGAGTCTAACTCTGAAAACTGAGTCCAGATAAAATGCACCTTTTCATTCTTCAACTGAAACAAATAAGGCAAGGAAACAAGTAAGGACCATTTGTAACTGATACTCAAAAAGAAAAACACATGAATATAGAATTTGTTTGGATTGATTTATTTAAGCTTATCTACTCTTCAGACATAAACACTTGGGAGCAAGGTTGTTAACTCGGAGTTACCGTTTAAACTATTACGAGTTTATGAGTTTACGATCTTAGTTTATTACGAGTTTAAATCGTAAACTCATTTGTTGGAAACGATTTTATAAACCCTCTATTTTGCAAACTCTTACGAGTTTAGTGTTCTTGTGAGAGACATCTATTATCCCTCAATATGTTTGTTGCTTTGTGAAATTTCATTTATTTAAGTAGTGTTTTTTTGGTTTGTTTTAAGTTTTAACAATTGTAGAAACTTAATTTATGTAGTTTGATACAAGTTTATGATTGTAACACTTTATTATGGTAATTTGGTATACTTTTGCTTCATTATTAAGTTGAAATTTTGAAATATTGATCCATTTTTGATATTAGATTAAGTATAATATCATGTATATATTAATTTCAATATTATTTTAATGAGACAAACTCGTTCAAACGAGTCGAATCCACCTGGCCAAAACGAGTTGACTTAAAGTCTCAAGTTTAACAACCTTGCTTGTGAGAGTGCTTGGAAGAGCTTACGAAAACAACTGATTAGATTTCCATAAGCTCTACATAATAACTTATGAATAAAGCTTATAGCTTATATAAAAATTATTTGACTTCATTGTATCTTCAATTATAGAAACAGCTTATATATTAACACTCATATGATAGACGCTCAATAAAGTTGAATATCAAAACAAGGTCATAGCAATAAGACATTTGTTACCTCCTTGATGGTTTTTTCAAGTGCTTCTTCATCAGATGTCACTG